TGAGGGAGGCTGTGTGGCGCATGCAGGACTGAACTGGGTGTTGGTGCTCAGCTAAGTTTAACGGTGTGATAGAATCAATGGCTGTCGAGTAAAATATTCCTTTCAGCTATAGTTCTCAGGGTGCTTTTCTGAAAAGGAACATTTTGGGTGACTCTCTTACATGAGAGATCTGATTCTAAGGCCCACATCTGTGAGTCTTACTAGGGTATAACCATCCAGTAAAGCAAACCATCACTGCTGGATGGCAACTTAGGTAGTGCTGCAGGAAGCTGTGTCTATTTATCTGGCCAAATGCTAATGTATCAGCTTCATGTCATCATCCTCATGGTTTCTCCCTCCTGCTCTGGCCAAGCAGGATCCCAGTGGAAACCAGTAACATGAAACTGCAGCAGCATCCCGTTTTACGGTGTGTTCACCGTGCCCTCCAGGGCCCCGCTCTTCACACACGGGCCTAGTGAATGCTGCTGGCAGATGGAGTGGCCAAAAGGAGATTCTGGCAGAGCTCTCCAGCCCATCTTTTCTAGGCCACAAGCAGAGAAAGCACTCACAACCCAAGGAGGAGAGAGAGAAGGCTGGGCTTGGTTACCAGTTGGCTTACTTTTGATAGTAGCACATGATTTTTGTTTACCAATCAACCTAACCTACTTGGAGGCTCAAGTAAAAATAAGGGGTGTCTAACACTATGCCAGAGAATAATTTCAAAAGGTTAAAAATGATCTCATATAAATATCAAATGAACACGTGGCCAAAGATTTTATTCAACTCATTAGTGAATGAGGAAACCGGGAGAAGACTGGGTTCAAATGAGACTGTAGGAGGTAGGTATTTCTAACAGTTTAACGAAGGAATGTTAGGATAAGAGTTCTAGGTGGGATAAAAGTGGTCAATGCCCCACAGGGCCATATGCCACAACCTCTGGGCTTATCTTGTCCATGGGACAGAAATTATTTGTCTCTCTAACTGAACAAGAACCTAAAAATTAACCCCTGCTCCTAGTAAGTTGTCAAATAACCAAATCAACTGACCGCCAGTCAAAGGGGCAGGCCAGGCCGTGTGCCGGAGGGATACCCAGCATTGCGTGTCTGTTTCAAGCTCTGAATCATTTTCCTGGCACTCGGAAGAGGCTCTCGAAAGGCCGTGGGGAAGGTCCAACAGCACACTAGAAGGCTCTGCGGATCTTATGATGCAGGTGACACTGTACCAAGGACAGAAGACCTGTCAGAGCAGGTATTCGTTCTGTAGTTTGGGAACCGTCACTGGATTTAGGTAAGGACAAGACTCAGAAAAGGAGGGCATGAAATGTCCCGGTGAACAGCAATGAGCGCAGAGGCCACGGCAACCTCAGGGAGCTGGACCCAGGTGACACTCCAGCTCCTCTGGAGAATGTGAGCAGGGCCGTCATCAGCAGAGAGGCCCGTTTGGGAGGAGAATAGTCTTTCCATTGGCACCTGGGCCATTTAGTCCACAGACTGCAGAGCTCTGAGGGCACCAGTGTCTTAGCAATGTCCTGTGACTGTCTTTATATAAGTGACAGCTATCAAAAATCTTATTTTATTGTTAATCCTCACCAGAGGATATTTTTTTCCATTGCTTTTCAGAGAGAGTGAAAGGTGGTGGTGGCGGGGAGAGAGAAACATTGATGTGAGAGAGACACATCAACTAGTTACCTACAGCAGGTGCCCCAACCAGTGGGTGGGGAGCGAACTTAAAACCCAGGCAGGTGCCCCTGACAGGGAATTGAACCCAAGATCCTTGGGCATGTGGGCCGAGGCTCCAAGCACTAAGCAACACTGGCCAGGGCAAAAATCTTAAATGTTTTTTCAATAAACTCTGCTCAAGAAAATATGCAAATGTGTGATCCAAAACCATGTCTACGAAAAAAGATTTTTAAATCTAAAAGCATTATTTGAAGAGATAACAAATCAATGCAATCCCTTCTATTAAGTATGTGTGCCACATACTTTCTTGGCCCTGAGTTATACTAACAGGAGACTACATTCTTCCTGCTTTCCAAAAGCTTATTATAGGGGAGATGTCTGCGCAAACATGTTTAATACAGGAAGTCTGAGCGAAGTAGGGGTGCACCTGGGGGAACACACGGGAAGGACGAGTGAGCAAGTCAGAGCAGAGGTCATGGAAGAAGGGACATTTGAATTGGGCCTTGCAGAATTCAAAACTCATTTGACTGGAAAATTCTCTAAAAGGCATGACTATGAATCAATGAAGGTGAGGGGAGCTGTACAATTGTTTTCTCAAACTGATTCCATATGTATAAAATATATGTGATACTATAAACAAAGACAAGTGAGAATTGAGATAAAAATTTTAAGAAAAGCAGATCCATGTTGTGGACAATTCACAAAAGAAATAGAAAAGGTCAATGAACATCCACAATTATATTTGTTTAAAATTGATTTTAGAGAGAGGAAGGGAGAGAGAGAGAAACATCAGTTGGTTGCCTCCCATACGAACCCCAACAGGATGAAACCACAAACTGGACATGTGCCCTGACAGGGAATTGAACCCGTGACCTTTGGGTGTATGGACCACAACTGTATCTGTTCCTAATAATAACCAAAGAAATGCAAAGTAAAATAAGATAAACGAGGTACCATTTCACACAGAGCAGCATGACAAAAATTAGAGAGACAGTTACTAAGGATTTAAACTGGCCCAAGCTTTCTTTAGAACTGCATTTCCATGGTGAAGAGTTTATCCCATGAAAATAATTAGGCAATAGCGCAAAGATCCTATCTATATGAATGTCATTAAAACACTTCAAACAATTTTTAAAAGGGAAGAGCAAATAAAGAAATATCCAACAAATGAGGATTGCTTAGATACATTATGAGTCCAGGAAATACCATGTGGCATTAAAACTGTAATGAGCCCTAACTAGTTTGGCTCAGTGGATAGAGCATCAACCCAGGGACTGACGGTTCCCAGGTTTGATTCTAGTCAAGGGCACATGCCCAGGTGGTGGGCTCATCCCCAGTAGGAGGTATGCAAGAGGTAGCCTATCAGTGATTCTCTCTCATCACTGATATTTCTATCTCTCTCTCTCCCTCTCCCTTCCTCTCTGAAATCAATAAAAAAAAATATTAAAAAACAAAACAAAACTGTAATGACATAAAATTTAATGGTGTGAAAAAAATTACAAAATAGTAAGTGAGAAAAAAAAAGCATGTTATAAAAATCAGTATGGTCCCAGTTTTTATTTCAAAAAACAAAAGAAAAAGAAGGTTCTTTATTTTCCTGGGTTTTTTTTGCAGATTATACCTCTGGGTCTCATCTTCAACATTTAACATTCATCTAATTCTAAGACAATACTTTTTTCTTATGAGGAACTCTGGAATTAGTTAGTGAAATACATACATACTAGAGGCCCAGTGCATGACATTCGTGCACTGGGTTCGGGTAGGGGGGCCCTCAGCCCGGCCTGAGCCCTCTTGCAGTCCGGGACATTCCCCAAGGGGTCCTCAGCACTGTTGTGGAGGAGGGTGAGGCTTCCACCACTCCCGCTGCGCTCACCAGCTGTGAGCCGGGCTTCTGGCTGAGCAGTGCTCTCCCTGTGGGAGCACACTGACCACCAGGGGGACAGCTCCTGCATTGAGTGTCTGCCCCCTGGTGATCAGTGCAGTTCATAGGGACCGGTCATTCTGCAGTTTGGTTGATTTGCATATTAGTGTTTTATTATATAGGATAGCTATTATAATGCTTAAAATCTTTTTTTTAAAGAATAGTTTATTGATTTTTAGAGAGAGAGAGAAGAGAGAAACATTGATATGAGAGTCCAACATTCTTCAGCTGCCTCCTGCATGCCCTCCCATTGTCCCACTGGGGACTGAGCCTGGCAACTTGGGTATGTACCCTGACCGGGAATGGAACCAGCAACCTTTCCAAACAGATAGATAATATTCCAAACAATTGAGCCACACGGGCCAGGGAAAAAGTATAATCTTAATGGTAATAGCCAATCATCTCCTTGAAGCATCCAGAATAGTCCCTGCTGCTGTAACTGGCCCATTTTCCTTCCAGATTGCCCTCACTTCCTGCCCAGCATTTTGGCTAGCCTGGGAGGTCTGAGCCCTTCACTGCCTTGCCCTTGTTGGGCCCTGGCTGCTTCAATTGCTCATGCAAAGTTATCTATGGCAGAGAAGTACCACAATATATCTTCATTTGATCAAAGAAAGTACAGCTCTTCATTGTGCACAAGAAAAGCCTACCTCCCACCCATACCAAATCTTATTAGGGTACACTGCTCCCAGACACAGACTCTTTTGAGTCACTCCCCTACACACACACACACACACACACACACACACACACACACACACAGCACCGTGGGGGCAGGGAGTGAGGACCAATTTGAAATACTGGTGTCTGGGAGGATTCCTTTCAGCCCAGAACCATCCACCTGCACAGGGTGTCATGTGTTCCCCTCTGTCATTCTGCAGGCTGCCGGTTCCATTCCCGGTCAGGGTGAGGTATCTTATACACTGGGTCCTCACTTCTTTCTTTTTTTAAAAATTTTTTATTGATTTTTTTTTTAGGGTGAAAGGAAGGGAGAGGGAGAGACAGAGAGAGTAACATGAAATGGTTGCCTCCCATTCTCTGACCTGGGACCGAACCCACAGCCTTTTGGTACACGGGACAACACTCAACCAATCGAGCCACACCAGCCAGGGTTCAGCTTCCAATGCTCTAGCATCTTTGATTATTTTGAAAGACGTGTAACTTCTGAAGAACACCATTGAGTGGAGAGGCATCAGTTAGAAACACTGCAGGCAGTGGAGGCTTACTTCATCCAGACCACCAAGTGGCAAGGACTGTGACCTTCCCATGTCCCCATCTGTCTGTCCATCCATCCATCCATCCATCCATCCACCCAATAATGAAAATATTCAAGATTTGTTAATACCATTTTGGGAAATGCCAATCTGCTCCAAAACACATTTTCTCTGCATTTCCCGAGTTCTTGGTAATGAGAAAGCACTTACCTAGCATGACCGTGTAGCTGGTCTCAGAGGCAGAGTTTACACAACTCTAAGGATGAGGCATGAAGATTTCCATGTTTGCTTCTGACAGATGAGCTTTTCCGCTTCAAATGAAAGAAAGAGATAGTCAAGGTAAATTAATGTTTGAAGTTAATGTGATTGTTTCCCTAACTTGTAGGTGGTTGGATTTTAAAATCCATACTTATTTTTAAACTGGGGCAAGCCTCCTTCCTGATGTTACCAATCAACTAATTCTGTTCATTTATTACATTCTATTATGTACTAATTATATTTAGACTTAACTTATAGATCTTATTAAGAAATGCATTCCTGCCCAGCTGGCATGGCTCAGTGGTTGAGCATCGGGGCAAGTGTGGGAGGCAACCAATCTCTCTCTGTCTCTTCTCCTCCCCTTTACTCTCTTTAAAAATTAATGGAAAGAAATACCTTTGGGCACGACCAGCATAGCTCAGTGGTTGAGCATTGACCTATGAACTAGGAGGTCGACATTTGATTCCTGGTCAGGGCACATGCCCAGGTTGTGGGCTCAAAACCCAGTGGGGGGAGCATGCAGGAGGCAGCCTATCAATGATTTTCTCTCATCATTGATGTTTCTATCTCTCTCTCCCTCTCTGAAATCAATAAAAAATATTATTTAAAAATTTTTCTTTTGAAAGAGAGAAAAGATATAAACAAATAGAAGAATATACCGTGTTCATGGATTGGTAGAATCAACATCATTAAAATGTCCACACTACCCAAGGCAATCTGCAGAGTCAATGTAATCTCTATTAAAATACCAACAGCATATTTCACAGAGCTAGAACAAATACTCCAAAAATGTATATGGAATCAAAAAGAACTCGAATAGCTGCAGCAATTTTGAGAAAGGAAAACAAAATTGGAGGAATCACAATATCAGATTTCAAGTTATACTACAAAACCACCATAATCAAAACAGCCCGATACTGGCACAAGAACAGGCATATAGATCAATGGAACAAAACAGAGAACACAGAAATAGACCCAAGCCATTATACTCAATTGATATTTGACAAAGGAGGCAAGAGCATACAATGATGTTGGGAAAATTGGACAGATACAGGAAAAAAAAAATGAAACTAGGCCACCAACTTACACCATACTTAAGAATAAACTCAAAATGGATAGAAGACTTAAATGTAAGTTGGAAAACCATAAAAGAAGAAAACATAGGCAGCAAAATCTCAGACATTTCTCGTAGCAATATGTTTACTGATACATCTCCTACTTAAGGCAAAGGAAACTAAGAAGAAAATAACATATGGGACTAAATCAAAATAAAAAGCTTCTGCACAGCAAAAGAAACCACCAACAAAACAAAATGGGAGCCCACTGTATGGGAGAACATATTTAGCAATGATACATCTGATAAAAGGTTAACATCCAGAACATATAAGGAACTCATACACCTTAACAAAAGGAAGACAAACAATCCAAATTAAAAATGGGCAGAGGACCTAAATAGACACTTTTCCAAAGTGGGCATACAGATGGCCAAGAGACATGAAAAATGCTCGAAGTCACTGATCATCCAAGAGATGCAAATTAAAATGACAATAAGGTATCACCTCACACCTGTCAGAATGGCTACCATCAACAAATAACAAGGGTTGGTGAGGAAGTGGAAAAAAGGGAACCCTCGTGCACTGCTGGTGAGACTGCAGACTGGTGCAGCCATTATGGAAAACAGTATGGAGTTTCCTCAAAAAATTAAATATGGAACTGCCATTGACCCAGTGATTCCAATTCTAGGAATATATCCTAAGAAACCTGAAACACCAATCAGAAAGAATGTATGCACCCCTATGGTCCTAGCAGCACAATTTACAATAGCTAAGATCTGGAAACAGTCCCAGTGCCCATCAGTAGACGAGTGGATAAAAAAGCTGTGGTACATTTACACCATGGAATACTATGCAGCAATAAAAAAGAAGGATCTCTTATCCTGTGAGACAGCATGGAGGGACCTGGAGAGTATCATGCTAAGTGAAATAAGTCCATCAGAGAAAGACAAGTATCCCATGATCACACTTATATGTGGAATGTAAGTAACAAAATAAACTGGATCCAGAGACATGGAAGCATGGAACAGAGTTCAGAATGTCAGTGGGAAGGTAAGGGAGGGTGGGTGTATGGGAGGTAATCAACCAAAGATCTTGTATGCACATATGCATAACCCATGGACACAGCAACAGGGTGCTGAAGGTCCGGGAGGCGGGGGGCGGGGGCTGGATCGGGTCAATGAGGGGAAAAAGGGGTCATATGTAATACTTTCAACAATAAAGAATTCTTTTAAAAAACAACAACAAAAAAGTTGTGGTAAATACACATAACATAAAATTTACTACATTTGCCATTTTTAACTGCGTATTTAGGAGCATTCAGTACATTCACACTGCTGTGCAACCAGCGTACAGACTGCATTCTGCAACACTGAAACTGTCCCCATTCCAAAACGCCCCTCCCCTCCTCCCTCCAGCCCCTGGCACCCACCCTTCTACTTTCCCCATAAATGGAATCATGTAGTGTTAATACAAGCTTTATTTTGCTTTAAAAGAATGCGTGGTAGGTATCAAGTTGCTATGATATGTAGGTGTAGATTTCATTGGATATATTTAATAAATGATTTATTTTAAAACGTTAATGTCATAAGTCAATCCTTTTACCAACATCTAAATATCTGAATTAAAGTCTGAATGTTAATTCAAATGATGTAAGCTGATACATACACACATCATTTTCCAAATTAAGTTTTGGGAGTATATACGTAGAAAGAAAACCCAGCGGTGCTAGTTCAGTCTTTTTGTTTTATACATAAGAGATTAAATGATTTGTATAGCCACACACCTCGTTGGCTAGAGTGCTTTGGAAATAATCTAAGACTCCTGACCCTAAGAGGTCCTTCCAGCTACAGATTCTGTTGTTCATAAATTTTATACATTTCAACTTTATGAAATATGCTTTCATTGATTTTTAGAGAGAGGAAGGGAGAGAGAGAGAAATATCAATCAGCTGTCTCCCACAGCTGTCTCCCACAGCTGCCCCCTACTGGGGTTTGAGCCTGAAACCTGGGCATGTGCCCTGACCCAGAATTGAACCAGGAACCTCTCAGTGCATGGGATGATGCTCAACCGAGCCACACCGGCCAGGGCTACATTTCAATTTTAAACGCACTAGTCACACATAATCTTATGTGCAAATATTCTTGTATACTCAAGAATCTTTAGCAATTAAAAATATTCTGTATGTCTGGTATAAGTTAGATTTTTCTACAATGAACTCGAATAGATGAACATGTATTTGGTAACAGTGTTTTGTTTTAGGTAAGATGAAGTGTATCACCCTATAAGTGATACACTAATATGAACTCACAGAGGTAGGAGGGGCCTCGGAGGTTTTGTGTTCAGAAAAATACAGAAGAATAAGGCACAATGAAGGAAATTGCCCCAAATAGCCTTCAGAGAATTCTGAACCATATTTGAAATGAAAGACATAAATTATATAACTACCCATAAATATTCCCTAATCTTTTTCAAAGAGATCCTTTAAGAAACTTCAAAATAAATGAATGGAATCTAATAATTTAAAACTCAAGTGCTGTTATTTCTACAGTATCTTGGATTATATGTTCATTTGCTCATTGGAAGAAAAATCACATTTTCATTTCTTATATTTTATTTATATTAGAGAGAGCACTTCAATATTAATTCAAATATCTATCCATTAAATGCAAAAATGTTAATATAATAATAAAAATGAAATTTAAATGAAAGCAAGGGAATATCACATTAAGGTTCCCATGGCAACTCTCACTACACTCCTCAGCCTCTGAATTGTATTATGGTCATTATTACAGACTCATACAAAATATTTAAAGATGTATAGGTTAATTCATGTCAATTCAAGAGTTCTGCTGCAATGTATCAGGCTAAGAATACTCTAAGTATTAACCCATATTTTTAATTTAGACATACCTACACAAAACAGATGCAAACTTCCTAAAATTTTTAAAAATATATCATCTTATGCCCTAACCGGTTTGGCTCAGTGGATAGAGTGTCAGCCTATGAACTCAAGGGTCCCAGGTTCAATTCCGGTCAAGGGCATATACCTTGGTTGCGGGCACATTCCCAGTAGGGAGTGTGCAGGAGGCAGCTGATTGATGTTTCTCTCTCATGGATGTTTCTAACTCTCTATCCCTCTCCCTACCTCTCTGTAAAAAAATCAATAAAATATATTTAAAAATATATATGTCATCTTACCTAATAATAGACAGACATGTAAATTGACCGTCCCTCCGCTACAGCTCACCAGCCAATCAGTTGAGTATGCAAATCAACCCAACAAAGATGGCGGTTAATTTGCTTACATAGGCGCGAAGTGGCAGAGCAAAGACTGAAGGCTCCGGCCAGAGAAGTGAAGACTGAAGGCCTAGGTCCCGGGTGCCGGAGGAAAACCAGTGCTGGCAGCCAGGGGAAGGGAAGGCCTATTGCACGAATCTCTTTGTGCAATGGGCCTCTAGTATATAATAAAAGCCCAGTGATCGAAACAGCAGAACGACCAGAACGACCAGAGACCAGAACAACCACAGCCCTTCACCCTGGCCAGAAGCCCCCCAGTGAGCAGTTAGGGGCAATCAGGGAGGCAGGCAGAGTAGTTAGGGGTGATCAGGCAGGCAGAGGAGTTTAGGGGCGATCAGGCAGGCAGAGACAGTTAAGGGTGATCAGGCAGAAAGGCAGAGGTGGTTAGGGGCAATAAGGCAGGCAGGTGAGTGGTTAGGGGTGATGAGGCAGGCAGGCAGAGGCAGTTAGGGACGATCAGGCAGGCAGAGGTGGTTAGGGGCGATCAGGCAGGCAGAGGCGGTTAGGGGCGATCAGGCAGGCAGGCAGGTGGTTAGGGGAGATCAGGCAGGCAGGAAGAGGGGCTAGGGGCGATAAGGCACGCAGGCAGAGGCAGTTAGGGGTGATCAGGCAGGCAGGCAAGTGGTTAGGGGTGATTAGGCAGGCAGGCAGGCAGAGGCAGTTAAGGGTGATCAGGCAGGCAGGTGAGTGGTTAGGGGCGA